TCCTCACCTGGGTGCTCTCGGTTGTTACATCGATCTACTACGACACCACCGACGATGTCCCCCACAACATCTGGCATAAGAATTATGCCTTCTACTCCGGCTTCACTCAGAATTCGGTCATCACATCCATCTACTTTGTAATTCTCTTCATCCTTCAGCTTGGCTACATTGCGCATCTGTTCTCCTCCGACAGCGCCGTCGCTTCGGCTGCAGCCTCGGTAGGCAGCCACTTCATTGTCAACAACATCCTCCACGCAGTCTTTGTCTTCCTCTTCGTCAACTCGCACTTCGTTTGGGCCGAGATCATCCTCATCATCAACTTCATCAACCTTACCTCGCTCTACTTCCGACACAACACTTACCCGCGCTTCATCCATGCCCCAGCCGTTTCTGGCCCCTTGGCCTGGACCTTTGTGGCTCTTTACTGGAACGGCGCCATCATGGTTCCGCACCAGCACAGTTTGGTTGCGAGAATATTCGCCAACGTGTTCGTATGGAGCATTCTCGTTTACGGAGGGTTCTTCATAATCATCTACAAGGATTACACCATGGGATTTGCCCTCAGCGTCCTGTCGGCGTCGCTGGGTGTCGCTCAATTCTTCAGGCAGGTGATTGCTTTCCAGTGGATCTTTGCCTTCACCATCATGAGCGTGTTGTTTGTCTTCACGTTGTTGATTGCTGTTCCGGCTTGGACTGGAAGGGAGCTTCCTTGGGGCGGAAGGGCGTCAGCTACTACTGAGCCGGCGGATGCGGAGAGGGCACCATTGTTGGGGGAGTAAAATGTCTCTGTGAAACATCACAAGGAAAACGGTGTGGAGAGAGCTAAACAAAACAACAGATTGACAAGTGGGTACGGGTACGGTGGCGGATGGAGATTGGTCCTGGGATGTCTGTATTTCCGCGTTAATGGATGGGGAAAAGCTTTTCTTAGTAATTGTCATTTAGTCGAGGCTTGTCGAGCAAGTAGTAACAAACATTGTAATCAACCCAACTCTGCATTTTGCTGTCCACAGACCGAGGTGATATTGTTTTGTTTGATGTTCTCTTATCGCAAATCCCTATGACGTCGTCGGATTTCTTATCAGTGCTTTAGCGCGATTCCACTTGGTTCAACCAAGGGGAGCTCACAGAAGGTTGCCTGAAACCCCTGCATTTGATCCACCCACATTTTTAACTCACCTTTCCCATGGATTTCTTTTTTTTTTTTTTTTAAAAAAAAAAAGCCAAAAAACGAGTGGATGTGATCACCACTATTGTGAGATTATCTTTTCCCGAAAAAGTAAAGAAAATAAAATACAAGAAAGTAAAAGGAGAAAGAAAGGGGAAAAAAAAGCCCAGACACTAAGAACAACCTTAAATTAACCTCATCCAACCCACCCCCAAAAAAAAAAAAATTTAATAATAAACAAGAATAAAAAAAAAATTAATAAAAAATGCGTCCACCACCCTTGCCCTTCCCATTACCAATCTCAATCGGCACGGACCTCTGCCGAATCTCGCGAATCTACGAGATTATCGGCTCTTCGGCGCCCCGGGCGCAGCGGTTCATAAGGAGGGTTCTGACCCCCGAGGAGATCGAGGCGTGCCTGAGGAGCGAGAAGCGGAGCTACATCAAGACGATACTGGACCGGAACCCGCTCGAGCTGTCCGAGGCGGCCAAGAAGCTGGGCAAGTCAAAGTACAACAAGAGCAAGAGGGAGAAGGCCAAGATGGCCAAGGCGTACGACGAGGTCCTGAAGCAGGCGAGCAGGTTCCTCGCCGGCAGGTGGGCGGCCAAGGAGGCCGGGATCAAGGCCCACTCGTGGAGGGCCGGGGTCGGGCTGAGGGAGGTCGAGTTTGTTAGTGCCGGTGCTGGGGTTGGGGGTGCGGTGGAGGGGGTAAGGGGGGAAGGAGTGCACGTAGGAGGAGTCGGGGAAGGTGTGGGAGGATTAGGAGTAGGAGGATTAGGAGGTGGAGGTGGAGGAGGAGGAAGTGGTGGTGGTGGTGGTGGCGGCGAAGCGGAGGTTCAGGAGCCGGGGGACCAAAGTAGCTGGTGGCCTGTGGACAGGGGCAACGGGAGCGAGGCGCCGACCGTCATTATTAGGGGCCACCGGGACGGGGTGAGGGACCAGATGGCGCTGATGAGCATAAGCCACGACGGGGACTACGCCACCGCCGTTTGCCTGGGGTTTAATCCGTCTTGGGAGGGTTGGGGGCCTATTACTAATACCTGTAGTGGTAGTAATCAGGGGAAGGGGGGCCCGGTGGAATTGAACGGGATGAAGGGGGTTGGACTGCAGAGCAAGGGTCAGATGTTATCGTCGAGGGAGGGTGAGGGTGAGGGCGCCGAGAGAGATTCTGCCGAAATTAAAATTTCAAAGGCTCCCACCGAGGTTCCGGCGAGCGGGGAGATCGATTTGGAAAAAGCTTTCGCTGTCCTTGAGGAAGCGCCGCAAGAGGAGGAGGATACGTCGTGGGTAGATATGATGGAAGGAAACCTGACGGAGGGGCAGGCGCAGACGGCGCCAGCGGCCACAGCGGCCACAGCTAAGCCGACGAAAAAGGAACCAAAGAAGAGGACGTGGACGTTTAGAAAGGGCAGAATGATTGTGCAGGTTCCGCGGAAACGGTAGTAGACAAAAAGTGAGGACGAGTTCTGAAAGAGAGGGGGGGAGAGTCATAAGGGTACTATAACTGATATATGTATAAAAAAGAAAAGGGACGGAAATCTGTCTAGTGTATTGTATGTATCTATGATGGCCAAAATAATTTTGGACTATTCTATAATCATGTGCTGGCCCTGCGGAGGTCGTTTCAGTTCTGGTTTTGGGGGGGGGGGGGTGGGGGGAGGGGAAGATTAATGATAGTAAGGACAGAAAATCATCTCTTAATCGACTACATATTTTCTGTTTCGGTCCCAAAGATTCAGTCTTTTTTTCCTTAAAAAAAGAAGAAAAAAAATCAACGTCAAATCAATTCTTACTTTCCCTGGTCTGATGCGACCGCTCGAGCGCGGGGTTTCCGTTCTAACCAGATATTATGCAGTTCTTCTGTTTCGTAAGAGAGATATAAGGTCTTCTAAGTTCGTCTCCTCCCAGAAAGTTGACTCATTCAAAACATCCAAAGAACCTCTTTGGTCGTTCACGTCCACGTCGGATCGGGCAACATCGTCAGGCGTTGATGTCTCGTCTTGGTTTTCTGTGGGTGGCTGGTAGTCTGCTTCAACATCCTCATCATCATTATCATTGTTTGGGATCGTCGCAGGGGGTGTAGCACTCCTAGCTTCCGAAATGATTATGCATCTCTTGACCGGTCTAGGAATGCGTGACGCGCAGGAATATCTGGACCTGGGGGTATAATGCGGTTGAGAATCGTGATAGTGACCTTCTCCATCAACAACGGATTGACCCCAATCTTCCGTTTCCGAGGCAAGACGGCCATGTTCCGAACTGCACGGCTGCGAGGGCATTACTCCGCTGCAAAAGCTGCTCAGGAGGAGAGGGACGTCCAGCGATGACGGGTCGGAAAGCGAGATCCTCAAGTCGAGTTGCACATCCGGGTGGTTAATATGAAGAGAGACGGTGGGGGTCGCGGTGGATGATGGTTGAACTTCTTCAGCGTTGTTGGACTGCTCGTCGGTTGTGGATGGCGGAGCGGGAGATGGTGAGCTGCCAGCTCCTGAGGGGAACGGCCACGAGCCTGAGCATGATGGTGCGGACCTAGATGAAGAAGAAGATGAAGTTGAGCTAGATTCAGATGAACCAGGCGTCAAAACCACGCTTTTGGGGCCCATGTTGGTTGCGTGGCCGTGGTCAATTAAGCCAACAGAATGAGAGCTTGGTTACAACGTGGGGAAAGGACCGAGATTTTAGCTCATGCTCGAAGAGGTAATTAATTAGTAGGGTTGGACTGGTGATGTCCAATCTTTTTCTCATAGTGAGACATGGAAAAAAGGTACGCATGTCTGCCGGAAAAGTTGACCATGAAAGGATTCATATGATTACCTCCTTTTGTTTCTTTGTTTGGACTATTGGAGTGAATAACTCAATTTCCAGGGCTCCAAGACTTATTGTCCACAACAGCACAAAGTTCATTGTCATTTATTCAAATTCTCTTCAAAAGTAGTTTCTATTTTCTGGAATTTGGTCCATTTGTTTGTATAACCAGAATTAGCATAATTGAATGAATTAGGTCAAAAAGGGGTGTTTGTTTACTGTCTGATCTTGTCGCTGGAAGTGGAGCACTGTCTCCAAGGGATGCAATTACGTCATTTGGATTCTTTGAAACCTCCTATCTGGACAAGCACTCTCACAGTTGAAATCAGACAATTGGGTCTTGAAAATAGCAAAGGGATTAAACAAAAGAAAAAGTGAATCATAAGCTGTCTCTCTGGACTATGGAGGATGTGAGTGGTTGGTTAGAGTTAGTCGCAAAAAGTTCAGGAACCAATATGGTACCAAAATACCAAACTGCCACATTCGGCAAAAGGTTAAGTCGATCGGGATGGGACTCGAACCCACAACCTCAGTCTTGATACCTCACTTAGGAGGACCACACGCTACCATTGCGCCACCCGACCGTCTTGATTGTTGGAAAGGCGTTCCGGTAAATGTCATCGTGTTAGCCCCGCGCAACGATCCAAACATTCCACCCCAGAATATAAAACAAAGACCGATCACATCAAGATAGCCCTGAACAATGACAGTTAGCGGTAGATGTGATATGCTGTCCAGTAGATATGAATGCCTGTAAATGGTATGATCTCGCATGAAAGAGAATAGATGAGTAGACAGCCACCAAAATAAAAATTTGCAAAGTTGAGGCAAGGTTATATACAGAAGGTCAGTGTCTGAAAGAACCGGGGCATTTGCTCTTTTCGGAGGGCTGGGCTGGTGTTGGTGTGGCCTAGAACCCTGCGTCAGCATGAATGGCGGGAGCAAAACAAAGATAAGACAAAAAAAGCAAGACAGAGAAATGAACAAGAGCAAAAAATAACCCCCTCGGGGCAACTGTTGTATGCTCGATCCGCCCAGGGGTCGAACCTGGAACCTCCTGATTACTTTGAAATCATCGTAGTCAGACGCGCTGCCATTACGCCAGCGGACCTTCGTCTTGTTGTTGAAAATTGTGGTGGAGATTTGCTGCTTTTGTGTGGATGTGACTGTGTAGGGTTGAGGTATTTTGAGGTTGATGTGGGGCGGATGGCCCGAAACTTTTTTTTTTTTTTTCGGGAGACAAAAATCTCGAGGAAGTGTTGAAGTGTGGAGAAATCTTTTTTTCGGGATGTTGCATACGCCTTGAAATAGTTGGAGTATCTGCTTGGGCAGAGTAATCTGCAAAAGAAAAGGGTGCTGAGGTTGCGAGGTTGTGAGGTCTAAATGTCGATTTAGTCAAAGTCTGCCTCAAGTGCCATCTATCTTTCCAAAAATCTTCCAAATTATGAACACCAAAATCCCAGATGATGTATCCGGAGTACCCAAAACATCTACAACCCTTTCAAACTGGCCCTGAACTCTTCCACGGTGACGGCCTTCTCTGTCAAACCACTCTTCTTGCCCTCCTTCACTCCTGGATGCGCCTGCCTCTCAAACGTCCACACCTCGTTAACGCCTAAGTCCTCCAAGTATTTCAACCCTTTCAAATAGTTGGTTGAAACTTGCGCAATCCCGTGGCTATCATCCGAAAAGGTAAACCTCCCTCCCATGGCCAACCACTCCTCGGCTATCTCTTTCTTTGGGTACCCCTCCTCCAGTCCCTTCCGAAAGGCGGAAGTGTTCAGCTCCAGCCACCCGCCGTACTCCTTGACCACCTTTAGATTCCTCACAACCTTCTCCCACATGGGTGCTCCCTTCAAAATCTTGCCGGGCGTTGCACTGAACAGTCTGATCAAGTCGAAGTGCCCCACCACCTTGGGTTTCAAAGCCTTCAACATGTCGTACTGCTCGTCGAAGTAGGCATCGAACAGTCCCTCCTCAGTCCCTCCGCACGCCTCAATGGCTTGCTCGTACATGGCCTTGTCGAAGTCAATAGGGATACCCTTGGTGTGATGCAGAGATCCGATGAAGTAGTCGATGATGGGGTGAGCAGATAGCTCCTGGATTAGGGGCCCGTAAGATGGACGGATCCATTCCCCTTCGAAGCCGATGAGAATGTGAACCTGGTCGGCATATTTGGCTTGCAAACGGACAGCTTCGTCGAGGTAGGCGTCGTGCCGAGGGAAGAGCTCGGCGAGGGTGGCTTCAGCCGAGGGGACCAGCTCTTCGGGGTAGAGATCTGAGAGCTCAGTGCGCGGCATGTGCTCGGTGAGGCCGATGGTCTTGTAGCCTGCTGCGATGGCATGCTGGACGATGTCTTCAAGATTGTCTTTAGCGTGGCCGGGGCAGAACTGCCCCGAATGGGAGTGCATTGTGAATGCCATTGCCAACGGAGCGATTGCGATGATCTTGTGGGCTGAGGAAAAGATCTTCAAGAATTCGAGGTTCTTTGAGGCGGGAGTACTAATAACGGGAATTTGAAATGGATTGTCCGAGTAGGGTAGTTGAACTTCTGGGACGTATGACTTTTGACGGAAATATTTTTGGATCTGTTAATTATTTATTTTATTTTTGAGAAGAAACGCATCTTGATTAAACTTTGGTGAGTGAGTCAATTCAACCTCGTAAATTTCCCCACTTGCACTTTACAAACAGTCACCAAAGATCGATGCAACATCTCAACCCTCAATCGCTTTACACCTTCCCGTCTTCTTCTTATCTTTCTTGTTGCGAAAATGTTTTAATGTCAATCAATTACCTTCATTGCGTCCCAGCCGATTGCCATCTTGATCAATCTCATCATGGAAACCAGCCCTTCTCTCCCCTTCACCTCTTCCACAGAGCAGACCGAATAGCTCCCGCAATCTCCACATGGGATGAACTCGATCGCTGCCACTATAAGCGGATATGGGGGATCATTTTTGAGGAATTGTCCATTTCACCATAAGGTTACCAAGACCATGAGAGAAGAATGAACACTCATGACTAAAATTAGGACTCTGCCTCGACCCGTATTCTTAAGGTATGCCAGACCCTGATAACTTCAGTCATGATATTCAGCTAGGTGAGGTATGCAAGGTAGGTGAAATAGCCTAGTCGTATCCCTTGTCGATTGTTGTAAGCGCCATGGTTCACCAATCAGACTTGCAGGTGGGGAAAAGGGGGCGCTTATTGGCCGACAATGTGGTTAGGATTCCTGTCAGGCACTCTTTCATCGCTCATCCTGCTCATGGGACATTCATCAGCAATGAGCAGTTATAATGAGCGACTCGGGCTCGACCGGCCAGTTGATCAGGTACAAGAAACTGCGGCTTGCCTTCTCCAGGTTCCGAAAGTCGAAAATTGATGCTCAGGCTGGGCAAACCGGGGTACCAATCGACCAGCGCCAGATCGACCCGGAGGGAAACCAGCGATGGCATCTCGAGTCCTGTCGAGACCCTGATGTTGTGGGCGAAAAGGATGGCGATATCTTTTGCAGGAAGTGCAAAAGGTCCCCAAACATATCGAAGCTCATTGCTAAACACAATCGACAACATACTTCCGGCTTGACAGTTCCTCCAGATGAGCCATACGGACAATACGGCCTCTGGTGGCCAAGGACGATCCCATACACCAAGAAACCATCCAGCGGCGATCTGAACGAACCTTCCGGGGAGTCCGGCAAATTGGAACCAACAAAAGACTCGGACAAAGGCGCCAGCAAGCCGTCAGATCATACAATCACGCGTCCTGAGACATCCCTCTATCAAAAACGACTCGCATCTAATGAATTCCGCTTGCTCTGTCTCCCTCCTCTAGCTGATGGAAAAGTTGACGCACCTCTTCACATCACCTTGGAAACGCACAACGATGAGAGATATGCCGAGTATGAGACAGTCTCGTACACGTGGGGCGGAGAGGAAGATGATGCCTCCCTCTGTCAACCAATCTTTGTAGGCCCTTACTGGGATGTCCTGCTGCAGACCAAAAACTGCTGGGATATGTTGCAGTTTCTCCGGCCATCGAGGTTCCATCGCCTTCTTTGGGTCGACGCGATTTGTATCAACCAGAGCGACAATCTCGAACGCGGTGCCCAAGTAGCCAAAATGGGCTTTATATACAAGAACGGTACCCGGACTGTCGTATGGTTAGGAAAAGACATTTCCAGCTCTCCCCCTACCGATTACCCACTAAGACGTGGTCTGAATGAGGTTTGCACCCTGGGAACAGGAGAGAAGCTTTTCGAAGCAAACGGCAAGGTAAATCTTCGAAAGCTGCTTCAGCGTCGATACTTTAGCCGCGTGTGGGTTATTCAGGAGTTGCTTCTCTCCCGTAGGCTGTTGATCCCAATTGGTGAGACCGAAATACTTGTGGATGCCCCAAGCGTAGGAGCCATATCAGGCTGGCAGCAAACCGCAGCACCGTGGATGGAGTTTTCAACGAAAGGCCGATATCTAGACCTGAACATCTTCCAGCTGATGGTTGCTACTTCGGACTCACAAGCGACAGACCGCCGGGATAAGCTTTATGGTCTGTTGGGCTTGACAAAATGCACAGCGTTCGTCGATTATACAATCTCCAGCATTCATTCCCTCATCGGCATTGCTGCCCACTACCTTCTCGATCTCCACCGCCCGGATCTTCTCCTACAGGCTCACGGACACAAAGCAGCCGGGTTAAGCCCTTCCTGGATGATTGACGTTGCGCAAGTGGCGTCATCTGGCCACTGGAGCAATGGCCAGTATATTTACTCCACAGAATATATGGCTGAAATCGTAAAGGATTTCCGCAGGCGGTGGCAAGAGGATAGTCAAGGCGGTTCTGAGGAGAGGGTTGCTGATAGGCGCATGCTCGAGCCTCTCAGGCTTGTTGAAGTTAACAGTCGGACACCGCCAAGGGATTGGAGAGAGGATGCCAGCAAAACCAGTTTGTTTTGGTATGACAACGCAATGGTTGATCAAGCTACGGCCGCTTTATCCATAAACCTGACGCACCTTTGCACTATTGGAGGCCCCCTGGTCCCTTACAGCGCGTTTGGCGAAATAAGATCTTACAGTGTTTCGAGCCATTCGGAATCTCGAGCCTCTGGCTGTGGCAATATGTTTATCTTGTCACTGCACTGGGACCTTGACGAAATCATAAAACCCTACGATGAGATTTTTATCCTGGATAAGGCCGACTCAGTTGTCCCGATATTCCTGGTTCTCCGTCCGAAAAAAGATCTCGGGGACAAAGCTTTCACATTGGTCATCTGTTGTGATCGCATATTGTTTGAGTTTAGAGACACGAGCAGTTGGCGTTTTAGGGAGACCGAGATATGGAGGTATAGAAACGCCATATCGATTGTCGAACTGCGACGCAGCCTTGCCGAATTTCTGGATGATATGAAAGCCTCGTTTGCAGAATCCAAAGCTGATCCAGCTCGTGTGCTGCCAGGGATAGAGTCTACCGGAGGATTTTTAAATGCCATTGCCCACAGGCATCTTGACGCCGATGATTTTCTGGAAGTATGTTTGGAAAACATCGATGATCGCTTCAAGCCCGCTCAAGTTGATTGTGGATTGTGGCTCTGCATCTCCCAAAGGGAGTGGGATGACGGCTCTGATAAGAAGAGAATAGACGGTGGTTCAATATGGGACCTTTGCTCACATTGGCGATATCTTGAAGGAGAGAAATGGATACCAAAGTCAACGAGACCGAAATTAAAGCAGCAGATATACATGAGATTTAACGAGGAGGATTTAAAGGCTAGGCTTGAGAATGATGCGGAAGTAACGCCGTATGTCGAGGCGGTTGGCAAGTTGGAACACGCCATTTGGGCAACCGGCGGCAAGAGGCCGTGGGAAATTCTTGAGCTGTCAGAAACGCAGCCAGACCAGTTTAAAAATACTGGGTGTCCTCGCTGGCCGTATGATATCATTGAGGCGTTCAAGATTACGGGTAATACATATCAGGTTACTATATACTGATTTACAGACAGAAGCCTTGGCTGAAAATACATATTTAAAGATTCATTATCGTCATCACAGCAAAACCCCCCTCCCCAAAATCTTGCACCTTCTACCTGGCAGGTAGGAACATTATACTGAAAAC